CCCTTAATACCAGGCACCTAATACCAGGCACCTAATACCAGGCACGTAACTGCCAGCTACATGGAAGTAACATAACGGTGTGAACTCGGGAGTATAGCATCTTAGATTTTATCAGGAGTTAATAAAGACAAATTTGTCTTTATTAACTCCTGATTTTATCTTATCGGTACACGGTGTTGGCCGTGTGAGTTGCAGCCCACAATTGAAAGTGCTTTACTATATAATCACATGTAGTGGGTCTCTGCCGAAATGTAATTATCAGTCGTATTGGGAATTCTGGAATGGCATATATGGACGTTATACTACTGGCTAGACTCGTATAAGCAGAGAACACCGTAAACTTTCATACAACTGGCGCAAGAAATTGCTGGAAAGTAACCTTATGCGTAGCATGATGTACATGTGTCGCAGAATGCATGTTTTAGGTAGTGAAATCTGTTTTTACACTTAAAAATGTTTGTCAGATTTAGAAATTCAAAGCAATCGATCAAATTAACTTAATTACGTTACTAATTTTGCTGAACGTGATTTTTCAGTTTTACTCTATGTCATTAATAATATCGTCACTATCTTCTCTGTACAATAACAGATTGGATATTCGATGTTTGTGCATATCGATACAGCTTCTGCTATCAAACACACATTTTACTATAGGGATTTGCAAACCCAGACATTAATTACGTGAATGGTAGCGTTGTTGTACGTGATTTTAGTCATATTTCTTGCCTTCATGGTGAGATGTCTGAGGCCACGGTGCACGATGTAATGTACAATTGCGCAGCGTTGTTGGCGACAGTGGATTAGGGTAACACGTAATAATAATTATCTATATGAATTTTCACCTAGTTTGCGGGCCATCACTATATAGGTCTTCACCATCACGTTAGTTACGGTCGGCAACTATGAGTAGCAGCACTGTATGTTCGGTGACTGCGCCCTTGCTAGCCTTGTGCATATCACAATAAATTTTCCTTTTAATTTCATTAGGTATATAACGTTATTCTTCTCTCGTGTTTTTCCAACCTGATCGCTTGTCAATCGTAAAGGCTGGCGTGTGTGGCAATTAGAATGTCGAACTATCAAAACCAAACGCCTCTTACTAACTACGGTCGTAATCTCTTGGTTCCAGTCTAAACATGGATTCAGGGTATCTGCTGTATTCGCGTTCAATAGAGTTTAATTCTCCTTTACAACGTATTATAGCAGTAGTTGCACGCTCCCTTTGATGCTGCAACGCTGGAACGCTGCCAGTATTGAGTGCTAAGCGTGGAGGTTTGTTGGCGCGTACGTAGAAGCTCGCAAGGAAGCTCGCAAGTGCGGTTCTAAAGTTCTACTGCTGCGCTACTCGCATACACAGCACACGGACATGGCCACGTACACGGTCTAACTCACGCTGTGATAGTAGGCTTTGTGAATGAGCAGTGAAATGGTTGTCTGTTAGTTGTGCTGTACTCGTGTCTCTCCACGTGTAGATAATTGAGTGGCAGCTAGTGCTGGTTACGTAAAATACTTGAGATGAAATATATCGGGTGATGGTGAAACATAAATGGAGAAATTCCAAAGTATGATGTACGTGAGGCACAAGTGGGAGGGGGCATTTAAAATGAAAGTAGCAATTTGAGGTACACGCATACGTAAGTGTTGAAACGTTGTGATAAATAACATATTGGCAATGTTGCTATAACTTGCATTTGTTAGTAGCATTTTCACAACAAATACATTTGATTGTGCACTAGTACAAACGTATTATTTAAATTTAATTCCTCAGTAACTAATTTCATCAACAAATAAAGTGAACTGGGTAATTGATAATGCTATGCTAAAACTGTGCGTGTTTCCTAACCAACCCTTAGAATTTGCCACTCTTTATGTCTGTGGTTTTTATATACTTTCTCCCCCCAAAAAATGGAAAAATGTACCCCACCATCAAAACCCCAGGTGTTTCAATACACCGCTTTAATACCGCCTCTTTGTTTTTTTCTCTCAGAGTACACGCTTTACTTACCCGGTACTATCTTGTCTGCCTAGCTATCCTAACGTTTATTTCATTGAAGCTAGGTGGGAAAACACATATTTGAAATATGAAAATCTTTGTGTGACCATGTGTATGGAAACGTAAATTATCCGTATAATAAACAACCTATATATATGTATATCATCTTGATATCATATATGTATGTGTCTGTGCGTGCGTGCGTGCGTACATGTGCGCGCGTGTATGTGTGCGTGCGTGCGTGTGTGTTTCCATGCGTGCGCGCGCGTACCCGCACCATGCACGCATATATATACATATCAAGAGTAGATAATAGAGTCTCTATTATCTACTCTTGATACATATACATATACTGCATGGTCTAGAGTCTCTAGACGCTTATTGATTGACAAATATTGGCTTTAGCCTGTATAAGTTCCGTAACTGCATGGTGTTCATATATATATATATATCTTCTGCGGTGGTCGTGGGCTGATGAGTACTAACTAATACACTTGATTGCATTTATGCTAGCTTATACAGATTGCGTTTGGGTTGGTCCCCGATGTGTGGGAGGACTTGATAGCTAGCTGGTAGCGTTATCGATTGCTAGCTATGTTTGCTTTAACTGCATCGCAGAGGAGACAGTGTGAGCGCAGACTCAGCAGACATAAATGACAGCCATGCCCCAAGAGCCATGTACGGCGGACATGTATTCTATCATGAGAGCATTTTACGACCTTTTGTGTCACTGTGAAGATTATGTACTTACTAGTGACTAGTCACTACACAAAAATGTGCAACTCTCAGACTGCTATAATTTGCCCTATTCTATGCCCTGTTTCTATTTGCTGAAACTCGCCTTCACAGTCCACGTGGTTGGTGAGTATTTCAACCCCTGATTTGGAGTGATCAAACATATAAAAAAAACTCATGTAATAAAGTAATTAAAAATTGAAGAAACGGGCAAAATCAATACCCCAGGAAATGAGCATATAAACACTCGTCGAGTAATGCTCCACATATTTGTAATATATTTTTTAAATTATAGGTATTGCTTAGCAGCATACATTTATTTTGTTTCAATAAGTGCAGGCTAATAATAAAATTATGGTAATGAAATAGGGAACGCCTCGTTTTCACGTTCTTAACTTTACTGCTGATTGCATTTTTGCACAACTCGATGTAATCAGATTAGTGAAATCCTCAGTAACCAAGAGATATAGGAGACTTGAGTTGAGAGTGTATGAATCTATGATTCTACTGAATAATTGTACTCTTATTGTAAGTTGTGTCAGCATTGCAGTCATTATAGATCTGATTTCATAATTTAGAGCTGTTAGCCTGCTCAATACTGCGGGCAAATTTTTCTTGTGATGATGATGATTATTTTATTAATTATACATGATCTCACGCAATGGTAGCATTTAAGAAGCCACGAGAGAACCTCGTAGCAAGATGAAAGCCTGGCTCAAGTAGTAGGAGTGTTTCCCCTTGGGTGATGGCTTTCATTAATCTAGCTGCAGGTCATCCATCAGTTTAATAACTGTTGAAACACATGGTATCAGATCTCTGCATGTTGTGCGCACGGTGTTTCTTGCCAACCAGCTTGAAGCAGGTAGAATCATGAATAATAACTATCAAGCCAGGCGTACATGCTTAGTTGTGGGTAGGTGACTGGATGTAGCTTTTATCAGTACGGGGATCATCTGCATCCTCGTGTTAGCTAGGTAGTTCTTAAAAGAGATGCAAGTTAAAGGGATCGTTTACTCTAGGTTGTAGGGTTATTTTCAGTTAATTTAGGTTAAAATTACGCTACATAAAAAGTCATGGTTCAATCACTATTAGAAATATTATTAAAAAATGTTTTAAAACTAACGACTACAGTTTGATTACAACGACAGTGGCGCCACTCAAAGCGCACAATCTAATAAGTTGCGCAAAACGACTTTTCAGCCAAGGGCTACAGAGCGAGGGTTTTTTCTTATTTATTAATTTAAAAGCAAAAGGATAGTAATATCTTATAAACGACATATAGTTTCAGTTATATTATGGATAAATTTGTCCTAAAATGAACATCGTTCGGTTAAATAGCATTTAGGTATAAATATAATTGCATCTTTGTGATTAGCCCTCGGTCTGTAACGTGCAAAATAAATTGGCAAATGCGCAACTTTTTCAGGGTGGCAGCACGGTCGCGGGTACGTGTCAATGGCGCCGTTCAAATTTCGTAGCGTTGATGTATAATTAATTATAATGTTCAATTAAATTAGGTATCTGGTAACAAATACGTGTGGGTATAGACGATACAGTTGTATGCAGTAAAATCCTAGAGTCTAGTATCCCTTTAACGGTTAACTAGACCATGGTTCTGCATTCTAAGTATGTGAGTTTTCTTGATTATTTTGCAGCAAACTTAAATGTTTCTTGATGTTTCCCCTAACAACCAGCATACATAATGTGGATATCGTAGCCAAGAAGGCAACAAACTGGTAGTTGACTGGTTCCAACATTTACTAGCTCCAACTCGCCTTCTGGACATGTTCATTTACCCACAGATCTGCGAAAACCTCAGATAGCCAGTTGCACGACATAAGTAAAGAGGCATTGCCATTGGTCAAAGGCATGGATATTCACTAGATGTCCAGCATACTCAAGGAACAATGTACAACAGAAATGCACCGAATAGAATGTTATTGTATTTACGTTTAGAATGTGTGCATCCTCATGTGTAAAACAGGGCTTTTGTGCTGTAGTGTTACTATTGTTTTGAGTAGCTATAAACTAACGAAACAAGCCTAGAGGAATAACACAGCAGAGCAAATTATATATTCTGTTAATATGACCCCTGCCATCCAAGATAAAAACTTACCCATAATTGAAGATGGCTTCATCAAGGTGGTATAGTAGTTATAATGTAGCTTAATGGTGGGCTTGGCAAACTATGCATTTCCATCTATGCAGTTTATCTGCCGAGCTGTTACTTAGGTAGGTGTTGCTCATCGGTGCTGTTGTATTGCTGTTGCAGGAAGAAAGCGGAGTTGTTTAAACGAAAGAAGAGTCCAGTAGGGCATCGCCGCAGCACTGGCAGTGGCACCACAGTGGCTGCTGATTCTGCGCAGCTGTCTTCGTCAGGTAACTGTGAAGTCTGATCTCTGTAGCTTCACTACTGCTACCAGTCAAAATCGACATATTTGTAAGCTCAGTGTAACATTTTCCAGGTTAGTTTTGAGATTTTGTAAGCAAAGTTGAGGTAAACACATGGAGTCTTCTGTGATGTTGCAGTAAATAGCCGTTTTGGGGTCACTTGACGTAGTGATCTGGAACCCCGTTAGTGTAGCAGTCTGAAACCATTGCCAGTCAGGTCATTATATTGCATCTGCATATTTATGTTGTCGGTGTGCACTTTTACATCCTATGGTCAGCTTTCTTCACATAATTCAGATGGAAACATGATTTCATTTTCTGGGTGTCAAAAAAAGGCTGGTGACCAATCGAAGAATTAACCTAGCCTTGAGCCGGGCGCACACGTGGCGATTTTTATCGACAGTACTGGCGATTTTTATCGACAATACTGTTGATAAAAATCGCCACGTGTGCGGGACCCGGCGACAATGCAACCATCTGTCAGCAACATACCACTGTATGAACTGTACGTGACCTGTTCAAAATGGAAGCGCCCATTGACACCACGATAGCCGTTCTTCAAGTTATTGGAATATATTTAATAATTATGCGTCAGCGTCGTCGACAGACAGCAGCGAGAGAGAGACGTACATGGGCACGTACGTGGGTGCTGCAACGTGATTCGCGTGGTGTTTTTAATAATTTAGTAAGAGAACTGGAGCTTGAAGATTCAGTGACGTACCAGCGTTATTTTAGAATGAAAAAATATCATTTCAATGCAATTCTGACACTGGTAGGGGCAAGGATAAGCAAGAAGAACACAGTGATGCGGAAATCCATTGCACCAAACGAACGTTTAGCATGTGGAAAACGAACGTGGGCGCTGCCATATTTGATCACGTGCTTCAAATCATGCATTTGATTGGTTAATCCAAAAACTGTTGCCTGAATCCGGCGCCTGGTCAGCGCACACGTAGCGATTGTTCAGCGACTTGGCAACAAATATCAAACGTGTTTGATATTCCAGCAACGAGTTTCTGGCATCAAAATCGCCATCGCCGTGCAGTGCACACGTGCTCGCACATGTGCGGCGATTTCTCGGCGATTTTGTTGCTGGCAACAAAATAGCCAGTACTGTCGATAAAAATTGCCACGTGTGTGCCGGGCTTTAGACGACACCTGTTCTATGGTTAGAAACCTATCTATGAATGCTAAAATGATACATTGTGTATTTTATTGCTAGTGCAGTGTTCTGCGGAGCATTAATCGCATGGTTTGCTATAATTTTTCAGTGTTTACCTTCTATTTAATTTTCAAATAATTGTATTCATGTGCAGGAATGAGTACTGATGCTGTCCTGAAGTTTGTAGTAGGGGGATGGGATCAGAGGGGGTTGGGATGTACTACATGATAGTCGCCGTCAATCAAAAATGTGCAGCCGTGTTGCAATACTTGTGAATGAATGCACTTGTCTGGCAAAGATTTATGGTCTTTATTTGCAACCTGGTTATTTTCAGCTTAAGCAGTTATGTTTTTTATGCATACTTAGTGCTGGACAATAAAATAAGGGATTGTCAATCTTTTTTGATTAAAAGTGATTTCAATTTTTTTTTAACTTAAGTCTGAGAACTAAAACTGTACAATGGTGAAAAAACTTGGCTTACCATTTGTGAGTTCATGATCACCAATTTACCTAAACTTGTTGCACTATTCTACTTGTACAAATGTGTTGAGCCCACTGACAATACGGCTTTAAGCTATTCTGACTGTAATTACCTGTAAACTTAGCAGTACCCAGAAGCTCAACCATTAGAGTATGGTATAACTATTGTAACCGTAGTCAGTTGCCACTTCTTTCAAACACTACTCTGTTGATTAATCTCTATTGACATCAGTTCAAAATATTGTATGGCTGAATATCTCCTTAATTAGTGCAGGGATATCCTTCTTTTTATTTTCGTTTCATACAACAAAATATTAGTATGCCTGTGTATGTGACTTGTGCTTGACAATCACATTTTTTAATCTGTACTTTTAGCGAGTCGAAGTCTGTCTCGAGGGCAGTCAGACAGCACACCAGGTGGCGCCGTCGGCATCAGACCTAGAGCAGCAAGCAGTGCGAGCAGTTCCACAGGCGAAAACCTGGATTCGGCGGCTTTGGTTGCTGAAGACTCACTGTCTGAGGTAAGGGGGAAGGGTCTCGCTGTTGTGCGTTTTGGCTTCATCTATATTAACCTACCTGCATCAGGTGAGTATAACATTAAGATTGTTTCTCATTCAGTAGAGATAGTGAGACTTGGGCGTTTCTCAGCTGTTAGTGTTACCAGTGATGGCATTATAAAAATTTGTCCATAGTTATTTTTCAAATTGAACTTTTCCTTTAGGCATCAAGTACATGTGAATTTAGCTTTGAAAAAGTATAGAGTGTGATATTTGTGTGTGTGCGTACGTGCGTGCGTGTGTGGGGTCCAAGAATCGCCCATCTAAAGACATTTCTAATGTGCATTCCGTACTGCTAAACACATGTTAGTACGCAATTCAGATGATTCTGTGAGTTAGAAATTGCTGTAAAAATCTAATTGGTATCTTTGCTGCATTGAGTGTGTTGCACATTATGGTATCAAGCAGACTGTTGGTGTTGATAGTTGTCTTGTTGTCTGGACAGCATCCAGACATGACGGTTCACGGTGTGTATACACCGGATGGTTCCGAGGTCATGATGGATGACACAGACATAGTCGACAGCAACACAGTCAAGACCCCTGTCGACCCTGTACGGGCCCGACTAGAGATTGAGAAGATTAATCTGAAAATACAAAAGATCAAGGAAAAAATCAAAAGCGAACAGAATTCACTAGATGGTAACTAACAGTTGATAGGTTAAATGCACACATAGCGACAATCGTTGGTCAGTGCAAAACTGCATGTTCATTTATAGATCTGCCCACTGGTGGCTGATCAAAACTTGTCAGAATCAAGTAGCATTTGCTGGTACAGTAGAAGTCCAAAAATCCAGACTGCTTGGGGATTGTGTCGGTCCAGATTTTCGGATTTCCCGGATTCTCAGGCAGTGCTTTCAAAATTCAAATTTAAGGAGGAATAAAGAAGAGATGATCATATAAACTTTATATATAGTTTATTCAGTAGCAAATACAGCATGCTTCATTTATCAAAATGTAATTTAAGTAAAATAAAGTCAACACTTGACAAAAATGTAAACATGACAACAATGTTAAAAATAAACATTGTAAAAGAAAAATACAGTAAACAAATGAAAGTGGAAGATATTTCATACAAATTAACTATTTATTTTTAGTTTATTAAACAGAGAGTTAAATTTGAGAGTTTTCAAAATATTCAGATTCTCAGGTGGTCCATATTTCTGGCATCCGGATTTTTGGACTTCTACTGTAATTCGTGCCATATAAGCTGCTACAACAATCCCCAATCAGGCCTGAAGAGTAACTCTATGCCAGGATAGTATTGTATGCCAATGTTATAGATATGTTGAAAATTCAATAAATGTTGTAACCTGGCTATACCTTACCATCACCCCCATGCTGTAACGTTTTGAAATGCCTGTCTTTATGAGAGTCTCTATATTATTGTCAGTCGCCACAGAATTTACTGCATGGTCATTAATCATATATTGTGACGACTGACAACACAAACCATGCGTGCATTAGTAGCACGGCATGATACTGTGCAACCGAGGTGCAATGAATGGCTTATCCCATGTTTCAGAGTCTGTCAATGAGTATCTGAAGCTGACAGAAAGTGCAGAAGGTCAGGAGAAGTCCAAGCTAAAGCAGGTTTGTGAACTGCTGAAATTCTTGTTTATATTATTATATTTTTAGCTCACCTTGACATCGTCAAGATGAGCTATTGCCATGGGGCGTTGTCCGTCGTACGTCCGTCCGTCCGTCCGTCTGTCCGTCAACATTTGGCTACAATCAACGATAACTTGAGAACCGTTTGATCCACATGTTTCAAATTGCATACAGTTGTTACTCCTATTGGAGAGATGTGAACGTCCTATTTTGGAGCACGCCAGTTGACCTACTTTCGAGCCATGCCCACTTTTTGACAAAAATGGAAATGGCCATAAGTCAGTTCAGGTTCAACGGATTTCGCTCATTTTTGGTATGTGAATGAATAAGGACTGGCCCCAAAACATATCACAGGGCTTTTGATATTTTTTTTAAGTTAGACAAATTAGGTAGATTTTGGCAATTTCATTATGCATTTCAGTGTCTGCCTACAGTCAACGATAACTCAAGAACCATTTGACCCACATGTTTCAAATTGCATACAGTTTTTACTCATATGGGAGAGATTTGAACGTCCTATTTTGGAGCATTGAGAGAAACACATCGCAGCTATTAGAAAACTCACGATAACAAGAACTTCATAATTTGATGTCACAATGCTGCTGATTGGATGAGAATCGATCACAAAATTCAAATTCATACACATTTATTGTACATCACAGTAATTTATGCATATTATGATGGCTAACCACATATAAATAATATTTGATGAAAATCGACACGGTCTTGAATTTATTCTGCACAACAAGACAAATTCTCACATGTGACACTGTAACACGAGACGCGAGAGTCGTGGTCACTGTGCAGAGTATTTAAAACAAGAGAACAAATACCATATGCCATTTGTAAATGTTTTGTTTTGTTTTGTTTTACGAACGGTAGATAATTATTGTTTGTGACGTGTTTTTCAAGAAAAACACACATATTACTCATTAATATACAATCTAATATCACTATAATTGTAATTATTAGTCTAAATGTGTTATTTTCATTTTAATATTAAAGTTACGAGAGGGTCTGGGCTCTCGTAATGTTAGGAGGAAATTTCCGAGGATTTTTCGTTCTCGTAACATTACGATGTTTCTGTCAACAGTTTACCAGTGGAAGTTAATGTTAAGACTAATTTTGTTTCTGACAACGGCCCCAGATTTCAGACTTTCAGATCTGAAACATTTATTTTAGCATCAAAACTAACCCTGAAACAAAGCAGTGAAATTTCTATTAGTATGTAACAGGGAATAAGGACATTTGATCACATTTCGGTCCGTCATAAATGAAACACTTACCAAATTTTAAATATCATCTCCCTCTTCTATCACACCCAAGGTGAGCTATAGTGTCATTGACACTTTCATTATGTTATCTGGCAGGGTTAAATACAGCTAGTAAAATGGCACGAACGTTTAGCTCTGCTTGTGTCTACAAACAATAGCAACACAAATATTAACAGTTGTACATACGGTGTTCAGATTCATTATATATGTTAGGGGGAGCAAACTGATAACAGTTCAGGTAAAAGCTGGGGCTTCAGTATTGAAGGGTGTAATTCAAAGGGCAAATAGCCAATTTCCCTCTTGTCGTTTGGCATGGTCAAGCTCTGCTTGCCTCTACTCCCCAACGTGGCAACACACAGCTTGGATGATGCTGATCCTAGTTAATAGGCAGTTGATTTCAAGAAGATCCACGATCAAATTCGTCCCTCGAGCCAACTGCATGTGTGGATTTCAATTTGGCAGCTTGTATGTGTTCGTGAGCGAGTGACTAGACTGCATCCTGAATGGATTGACATGGTGGAATATGCTTGATGGATTCTTGTACAATTAGTACATACTTAGACGTGCTCTCCTTTTAATTTTTGCCAATGATTTTTGCCTCTGACTTGGTGTGAGGTTGTTGTTGTTGTTGTTGTTGTTGTTGTTGTTGTTGTTGTTTTTGGGGGGGGGGCAGAACCTTTAGTAAAATGCCTCACTTGAGGAGGATGTTCTCTCTGGACAGTGGTGCATACCAGGCGCAGGCAGGCAGCTATAAAATGTTTAGCTTTCATATCAGACATAATATATATATATATATTAGATGATTATAATTTTTTGGGAAATTATATAAAAATAATGCAATAATAGAAGTAGTCTAGTGTCTAGATGCGGTATTGCGTTTTGAAGCGACAGACGTGTATTAAAATATTATTTGATCCCATCTAAAAGAGTTTTACACAAATACAAGGTGTTTCAGTAAAATACAGTTTCAGATGAAATTTGTGATGAATTAGATTAAGAAATTCTGAACAATGATAAAAGGGGTTACATGCAGTAAAAGTACTGTACTGTTAACCGTTACTGTAACCGCTCCTTGCCAAAGACATTTCATAGTTATATCTATCAAGTATTGGCCAATCAGTAATCCTTGTGATATATATGGTATAATTGATTTCGATTCTGTATTATCGTTTCATTTTTAGCTCACCTTGACATCGTCAAGCTGAGCTATTGCCATGGGTCGTCGTCCGTCGTACGTCCGTCCGTCAACATTTCGCTTCGGTCAACGATAACTCAGGAACTGTTTTACCCACATGTTTGAAATTGGGTATAGTTGTTACTGCTATGCTCCCATATGGAACGTCCTATTTTGGAGCACGCCAGTCGACGTACTTTCGAGCCACGGCAATTTTTTGGAAAAAATGGGAATTGCCATTAATCAGTTCAGGCTCAACGGATTTTGGGCCTTATTTTTGGTATGTGAATGAATAAGGGCTAGGGGTTTTGATATTTAAAAAAAATTATGCAAATTAGATAGGTTTATGCATATTATGCAAAAAACGCAGATAACAAACAGTCTGTGGTGTCACACTCGTCTGGTTCGTTTTACAAGATTTCATTGACAATATCTTTAATGCCAAAATTGGTATTTCCTCTCCACCCTGCCGATAAAACGTCTATATTAGAGTAAAGTTTTACAAAACATGTCGGAACGCCAGCATAACCTATTATTTCGAACGCCATCGCTACAAAGCGGGTATAGCGCCATCTACTGTCACAAATTGTGATTCATTTTGGTTTATAAATTATTATTGCGATATACAGATGGCAACCGTGTGCTACCGCCTAGAAAAACTCATACGAAGTAAACACTTCCATGCAACCATTAACCTTTGACAAAAGTTGTGTTATGGCAGGAAACACCATTGTCACGTGGTACATAGCAGCTACGTGGAATAAGCGTATCCTCTCAATCTTACACGTTACACGTCGAGAGCTCTGCTTTTAGGCAGTGCCTAAATCTGAATATTATAAAAACGTTATTTGTGGTGAGCTACAGTGTCATTGACACTTTCATTAATTCATACATTCACGGTTTAATCTCATAAGGCAATTATTTAAACAGTTGCAAACAAGACCTCTCGAAATATTTGTTATAGGTAAACATGAAACATGGTCTGCCACTTTCATCACTGATAGCCTTTTCACCTACTGACAGTGTCTATGAATGTTTGCTGCATCACTTCGTCCTGCAAAAAAAATTGCAGGAGCAAATGTATGAGATAGAAATGCTGTCGTATAGTGTGTGCTAGAATGTGTGCTATGTTTGCTGGCTCTCAGCCACCCCTGACCACCAACGACCCGCTCGGGACGCACACCCACACCCCATGCGCGTATGTATATATGTGTACCATTGCGGTTTGTTTGGTTTGTCATTACTGACCACTTTCAGATGTTCGAGAGTAAAAACCACAAGTCTCAGCAATCGATTCAGAGCTTGCAGAAGAAGCTGGAGGGCTACAAGAGCCATATCCGCTGCCTACAGGCTGGGGAGTGGCCAACGCACAGACATCCGATAGGGGTCATCAAGGACATGGGGCAGGGTATCAAGTAGGTATCGCCGATTCTTTTATAGGTCACTTTTTTATAGAATGCCAAGTCAAAATTTGGCAGGAATGTGACTATTAGTGATTAAACGATTGCGTGATGAATGTGTCAGGGATGAACAAAAATGTGATATTATTGCATACTCAGCAAATAGCGTCTAATTGCATCGCACACTCAATTGTTTATCCACTGCTCACTGATGTTGTGCTAGTGTTGACATTTCTTGCTGTAGTTACAACATCGTATTTACATCCCTAGTATTTCAGTATTATTACTTTGGCTTAAAGATGGACATTGCTGTGTTCCGTTTAATTAATGTTTTCAGACCAAGAAACTTGATGAGTGTAGCTGCTTTGCCTGCTTTCCAGCGTTATGATACTAAAACAACAGTTATAGGAACTATTAACAAGGGGTTTTAATAACTGTTTCACTAACTTGCCACTAATAGTGCAATAGCTATTGCTGGGCCTGCTGCATTCAGAGCTTTGCTCTACTTACTCTTGTTTTTTGGTTAAACCTAGCATAGTTACAAAGTCGTGGGTGACACAGAATGATAGATGTCATTGTTTCCATCATTTAAAAAAAATTAAGCATTTAAATATCTTTTACAATTTTTGATATCAATTAAGTGAAGACGAACTCGTTCTGAATTTTTACGAACGTGGTTTTTACAGGGATGTTGGTGCTAACATTAAAACTGGAATAACAGGATTCTCTGGGTAAGTGTTTTTAAATGTTATGTGGCTATATAGTGCACTTTCATCAGGGTAATATAAGGAGTCCGGAGCATAGTTCACAAGCAGAGTAGGTACTGATGTAGCCGCTGTCCAACTAAACTGCATAAAGTGAATGGTGGGGTATTAGATGGTCAGTATATAATGGAGTTGAGTGGGCAGAGGTCAGTGGGCATTAGGCGCGGTATATATATTCCGGTTCCCAGCGTAAGTAACTGACTTGGAGTCTCCTCTGTATAATAGTGCACAAAACTAACTGCGTTCGACTAAGGTATTCATAGTTACGATATATGGTCGTGGTGCTCTAGTGGTAGCAATAACAATGATAGGAGCAACAGTAACAGTAACACTAACGGTAGTAGTAGTAGAAGCAGTAGCAGTAGGTAGTAGCAATGCAGCAGCAGAATAGTAGCTTGTTCTTGTTTTTCCGATTTTTTTGCTATTGATCAGCATATATAATCCTTTTGCCCGATAACTGTGTACTGAGAGTTTTGTTATGACATTTTCTTCCAACATATATAATATAGGAATATTAAACAATAGTAAAACGTTCGAGTTTAATATTCTCTAGAAATTACCTCTTCACTGCACGCAATTACACTCAATAAAAAATGATTAAAGTAACCCATTTCCGTTTTTGATGATGAACCACAGTGTAAAGTTCCCGTCTTTGCTAAATTCAGATATATTTCATCAAGTTTTCATTCTCATGAACAGGCGTACCTAAACGCGTGAACAGGTGTATAAACAAACATAACCACGATTGTAAAATTCACTGTTTACTGGAGTCTTTGTTATTCCTTGTGCACATAATCAAACATGCTGACACGCTCTGAGGAAACGGATAGTGTACATGCTACTAGTGTGGTTTAACTCAAAGTGGCAGGATTGACACCAAGACGTCAGTTCCTTCTTATTAGTTTGTCACATTATTCCATTTGTAGAACGCAGTACAGTGTGTAATGTCGCGGGGAATTAGTTCAGTTTCTGACTTGCAATCACATGTTATCGCGATTTCGTGGCCACTGCCTGTAGCTACACATCCATTAAAATGTGGATTACCATGGTCCTACATAATTATGCAGGCCATGCTAATACAGTATGATATGAGTATCACAGACTACTGCATTTGCCCTTTAGTTAAAACCTTCGAATTGCTTCTTTTTTTTTCAAAAAAAGCAATTTAACAATGGGACTTAATGGAAGCACGTTAAATATAAATATGTCTGCTGAGTTGCATTGGTTGGCAGAACCTCGCTGTGTATTGTAAATACATACATGTTGATATTGCTGCATCTGCGAGGCCAGTAAAACTGAATGTATTTTGCCTGTCTGCATGCATATAGCATGATGGGAAACATTTGAGGTGGCTTGTCAGGGCTACATACAGTAAGCCAGAGTGCTGCTGGGTGAGTGAAATCAAAAGTACATTCTACTCTGATCTCCAGCATGACACATTTACTGCTTGCTCCCCCCTCTCACTTTCCCTCTCCCACTCCCTCTCCCTCCATCTTCGTCTCTATTTTCCTCCCTCACCTCCCTCCCTCCCTCCCTACCTCCCCCTCTCCCTCTCTCTCTCCCTCTCCCTCTCCCTCTCCCTGTGCCTCCCCCTCTCTCTCTCCATCTCTCGCTCTGTTGCCACTGGATATACATGCTCACGTATAGAATTATTAGGTCACATACCAGCTAGGAGTCATTAATAAAAGAAATTACTATGGGTCCGTCACATAAAATAATCCGTCTCAACAGCAGGATGTATATCACCAGAAGTAGATAATAGGGAATTTCCCCTATTATCTACTTCTGATATCACTGAAGTCCTGTGTGATTTCCTATTGTCCTGGACAATAGGGTCGATGTGTGCAGTATTATGGGTACTAGTGTTTCTCTAAGGTAATAAAAGATAAGGGAATAATCTTACTGTGGACGATTAACAGCAGAAACACTTGCAATAGTTATTTGATAGCTATTATTTTTACGTGAAGTTACGTTATAGGCAAGTACTAAAACTAAGGTGACCAATTCACTTTAATTAGACCAGGCCCATGTTTTTTTTATACCAAGTAGTTGAGGTAAAGCAAGTTCTCTTAGCTCCTGTAAATTTATTCACAAGAAACTAGAAACATTTTGCTGTGGCATGATATAGCAAAAACGCTATGACCATCTTTATAATTTAATAATTTATTGCATTGGTAGTATTGTCTGGCTGTAGATTGCAGACCATTGATGCATGTTACTGCTATATGTAAGCTGTCAAATTTGTACATCTTGAATGCTGAGCATGCAATAAATGCTTGTTTTTAAACTTTATATAATTTTGACAATTTTAGTTATTGAAACTTTTGTCATATGTTGTTTTGGAATATAAAACGAAATAGAGCCACTTTGTATGCTTATCACAGGATTTATTAAAGTTCATTATGTACCAGCAACATTACTAAAATAAATACCTAAACTCAAATTAAGTATCTAGCCACTTCCTTTGACCAGAAAATCAATAGTTAATCATGTGTTGAGTTATAAAATTCAGAAGGAAGTGGTGGTATATGTAAGGGATAATCAGAAACATGTATGTTGTAAAACTTATATAATTGGCTCGCGGTTTTTAAGCTCACTCAGGGTCTGATGATACATAATAGCGATAGGACTGTCTGTCCTGCATATTTGTGCACCACAGATTCTCTACGATGTGAATTTGTATGGTTGAGGTCGGATACTTAACAGCCCAGCGTTTACATGGAGTAAACCATGACCTATAATTGACCTATTGCCCTTCAATATAATGAGATTAAAACACGTTGATAATGAAGTCGGTAGAGATAGTGATGAAGGGGATGAAAGTCAGGGTAATGATGATGTAAGCCATGATAATTGTTGCCGTGTTGAAAGATGATAGTACTGTTGGTTATGACAATGATGGCAATGATGACGACGATGATGATGGTGATGATAGCGATGATAATGATGTTTTGTCTTAATTTTATATATTATTAAAAAGTGAGTAAATTATATATAGTATATGGCTCTTAACCTTATGTTGCACGTGTATGTATTTGGGGATAGAGGGAGTCAGTAGTGGCGTTACAGAGTGCATTGCAGCACTGTAGTATATGAGTAAACAAACAAGCATTTGATATTGTAATTAATAAAGTATCGAATTGCGAAGTATCGAAAAAGCTCGTGGGAAGTGTCTGATTTTAGAGAAATCGGTCTCTGACTCCATCTACATAGTTAAGTGAACTCAATTACTCGAAAACTCAATTGAATTACTCTTGAAAGATGAATTTATGCAAAAGGGTAGAAAGCTTTAATAAGACACTATGGTACAGAGGGTTTCAGAGGGCTACCTATTGGGAAATTTAATTTACTTATATACTTCTTTCAGGACTGTGATGGCCAAGCCACGAGAATTTGCTCACTTGATAAAGAACAAGTTCGGAAGTGCTGACAACATCAATTCATTAGTCAGTAAGTTATTGCATACAGGCCTGAGATATGTAGCTAGCCATGCTGCACTGCAGGCATGCAGGGTTGGGTGATGTAGCTAGTCATGGTGCACTGCAGGCATGCAATGTTGGGTGATGTAGCTAGCCATGCTGCATTGCAGGCATGCAGGGTTGGAGGATGTAGCTAGCCATGTTGCACGGCAAGCATGCAGGGTTGGGTGATATAGCTATGCAGGATTATGTCGGTATGCTGGTACATGTGGTTCTGTAGTTTAAGCGGACTTGAGAATCGCTTCATAGAAGAAGATTTGTAGAATGTTACATCCGTCTGTTTCAGTTGATGAGCCTAGCAGTGGCGGTTCAGTGGAGTCAGCAGGGACCGGTGGGCGGGTCCCTATGCTGAATGAATCGTCAAGTGGTAGCCGACCTACGAACCAGGGAAGTGCCACGTTTCCACGAACAGACCCACAGCAGATTATCTCTGGGTAAGTAAGCTCAAAGTATGTCTATGTGTATATGTGCGAATGTATGTGTGCGCGCGTGCATGCATGGACATGTGCATGTGTGTCACATGTATGATGAAGGTAGAGAACGTGGTCTGTAACTGTGGAAGCGAGTATCAGTAACAGTATTTTTGTGGCAGACAGCGTGTTTGTTGTGTTTATATTTGTTCTAAATGCAAACTTTTCCATGCTGATGCAAGGACACACTTTCTCAGTCATTGTAAATGCATCACGCTGTAAGTGCGTACCTAGTTAGCTTGGGTCCAAGTATAAGTAGAATATGTTAGCTTAAACGATGTGCTTTTCTGTTGCATTCGATTGATAGCCATCATATAAATAGTTCAATTTGTATTCCTGCAAATGCTTTATTCTTTTACCACTAATATTTGTTGTCTTTATATTATCTCCCTTAATTCGTCGTTATTTATTTCTATAGTATATAGTTGAGGACTGCAACTGGATTTGTAGAACCAACGCCTTTTCCTGTCATGCTTGAAATGCGTGAGCGTTTGCATCCTGCTGTCCCAGCTGTGTTCTAACAGTGTATGCAGCAGCAGCATTGAGGTTGACAAGCGCGAATGTTGCGCATTTATACAAACATTTAACCTCATTACGCAAATCCCGTGTAAGTCACGCATACAAGTAATGGCAGGTTTATTATGTGTACTGTCCCTATAGGAAGGGCGGTAATAAGGCATATACTGAAGAACTTGCCAAAGTAGGGGCGCAACACAGGAGCGCTACATTCCCACGCTTGGAGGCTATCTTCCAGCCCCCTGGGTGAGCATAGCTATCCCCCTTACAATGCAGTGCTCGTCATGCAATGGCCAAAGAGCTAGTCTGTTGTTTGCAGCTGTTTATTAACTAATGCTGCTAACAGCTTGCTAGTAAGAGGTCGTTAAATTATGTGTTGACCATTGAACAAGAAAAAACCCACCCTCACTCCACTCCACTGCACCCAGGTGTCCTACTTACTTGCAATACCGTGTTCTTATATTTTTCTCACTTTGCTCACTTTTAAATGTTATATGCTCTATATAGTACATCATGATTTTGCCTGCAGAAGAACAATTGAGTAGCCATGGTTCTGTCCATGACGTGTTTTGTGTGTGACAAGAAACAAAATCCAGACCATAATGAAATAATTAAACCACAAAATATGCAAGGTGATAGCGAGTTGAAGCTCGAATTCTGTTACATCTCATCTCTCCTCTTCCCAGAATAACACCTAATCCCAACGCCGCACCTATTTCTATAACCTTTTGTCCAGATCACCACGAATTGTCTCATGGCAACATAATTTAACTACATTGGCGATTCTCGGGGATGGATTTCTATTTGGTGTTTAACCTATCTAGATCAGAATTACTAATTGATTCTCACCTTTTCCATAACTATATTGCTGTGTACTTCGCATGCTTGTGTCGCCATTCTTGCCTGATTGGTGTTTGCCCTTCAGTGCTGTATTTTGAATATATAATAGGTGCTCGGGGCTATGTAATAGGTGTCGCTCACCTTTCTGGTACAAGGTGTAATTTTGCATGTACGTTTATTCATATAGTATGTATAGCAAGAATAACATAATAACTATTTGGAGTGCCAGATGTATTATAATATCAGGATCATCTGCAAGCGTTTAGCTGTCTTCATGCAGTTATTGTGACCTAACGATATTCGATCCGATCGAGATTCGATAATTGATATTTCTCCTATTGTTTTTGGTTGTTGTTTACTGTTTATGGCAGTATTATTTCAAGAGATCGTATGAATTCATGTTCTGTATTTCTTTGTTAATTTATGTTTAAATAATGGAATCTATGATATGTTGGTGGTATTTGTGTGGAAAGAAGCGAAATTATGAAGCTACTATGTCAGTAGAAACCTGCTAAACAGTTGTGCCAGCCAGTAGAGGATATGTTAGTTTTGTTAACACTAACAGGTACCACATGGGAGATGCCTCCTCCGCGGGTTCACCACAGCATTCATTTACCCATTTTACTTGTTAATTTCAAATCCAATGCTTCTCAGTTCGTAGTTATTTTTGGGGCGTGTTATCTTACCGGTCGTAATTTTTTTATTTGTGGTACACAGACTTACAAAGGACGTGTAATGCTAAAAATAATTTATCAGATATAGGGCGGTCAGAAGATACACGATCCCGTTTTCGGGCTCGGGTTCAAGTTGCAGGTTTTTTTTGTTTTTCAAGGTGAAGACTACAAAAGTAAACCAACAACCCCTCGTAGAAATTTTAGAGATACCCGCAATCTTTAGTTATGCTGCTGTAAGAACATGGTTTACTACCCTCGTTTAATGTGTGTAACTCGGTGCCATCTGCAGTTTCATATCGCAAAAGGTTTTTCCGACGTAGCTCTTTATATTGACCTATTACATGTAAATTGATTGTATATGTGTAAGTATATATAATATATGTCTATATATATATATATATATATATATATATATATACATATCTATCATTTATTGTGTAACTGCCCCCACAAGTGAGCTACCTAGACCTAGCATTATCAGGCAGGAACAGGCAGCTAATGCCTTGAATTGTGTCTCTGCACAAAGCATGTGCAATTCATTGTGGGAATTAGCTGCCTCTGCTGCGTGTTAAATTATGCATGAATAACTAATTCGTGTGTAGACGTAATTTGCCGAGGATTATATTAGATAGCAATGTGTGGTTGAAGTGCGTGCGCTGCTTATTATAGCTCAACTACGTTCGGTCCTTGTTGAATGGATGTCATCGTTGCAGACGTTGTCGTTGAAATCTGGCGAAAACCTGCCATGTGTGTGTGTTCTATGTACTGCAACCGTTGTCATATTGATGTTGCCTTGCACACAATTGCAATATCGATCTGATGAGATGGGGCATGCATACGGCGTGCAGGTACTGCGTGTGTTTGTAAGACGCGTTCGTGGCAGCTAGATAACACGAATTAGATAGGATGGGAAGTAGCTGTCAACCACCCATTGGTTTAGCGATTTTGCGAATCTACGAGCTACGATGGAGCTTCTTTTGAGTGGTTTATGTGGTTTAGGTATGTGCTACTCATGTGTGTCGGTTGTGCGTTACATACGGTCGGTTGGTTATCTTGTTCTGTCTCTGTCCCTACAATTATCCACCCCCTAGTCCTATTTGTCGCTATCTCGCGCTCTCGCGCTCTCGCTATCTTCAACACACATACTCTCTCTTTGTATCTGTCTGTCTTTCTGTCTGTCTGTTATCTTTCTTTCTCTCTCCCTCTCCCTGCCTCTCTCTCCCTCTCCCTCTCTCTCTCCCTCTCCCTCTCTCTCTCTCTCTCTCTCTCTCTCTCTCTCTCTCCTCTCCCTCTTTCTCTCCCTCTCCCTCTCCCTCTCTCCCTCTCTCCCTCCCTCCCTCCCTCACTATCTCTCCCTCTCCTTCTCCTTCTCCCTCTCCTTCTCCCTCTCCCTCTCCCTCCCTCCCTTCCTCGCCTCCATGTCCCCGTTCTGTCTCTCTCTCTCTCACGGTTTATCTCTGTGTCTCTCGCTCCCTTCCTCCCTGCATCCACGCTCCCATTTCTCCATTCCTAGGTTGCTGCGGTTTAGCAGAGAAGACCTATGCCGTTTTTCTAAGTTCCATGACCATGCCACCAAGCCACCGCCTGGCCCCCGAAAACACATGGCTTTTGCTGGGATATTGAATAAGGTGGCACCCAATTATAGGTATTGGCAGATATCCATTTAAGAATACAAAAGTGTGGTTTGGGATGTGATATCTGACAACAATGAGTAGGCTACCATGATTCAATGATTGTGTGAGGATGAATGTTCTAGGTAGCATTTATTGGTAGTTAAGGTTTATGTGTGAGTATAGTAATTATTATTATTATTATTATTATTTCCAAAGTGGATCACGGCATTAGCTGGTGGCTTCTGGGTTGGCCGTGTCCCAACCTGGGACATAGGCGATGCAATTAGAATATTTGCGCAGGATGTGTTAGATTATTATTATTATTATTATTATTATTAGCCGGGATATTATATTTTATCTATTCGTGTTTTAATGTAAATAAAAGATCTGTTAGGCTGATAGTTGCTTTAATTTAGCAGACCGTGCAGCAATGATTTAACTGCATAATTTCACTATTGGGCAGCTAAGTAAATAGTTACCACATAACCAGCTAACCAACTAATCTAATTTTGTAGCTTATTTGTTAACCAGCACATGCATGACACTGGTGGCACTGGCATTCACTGTGGGAAAAAAATTATATTGTAAATTGTGAAGTAGCAGTATTTGGAGGCATGGATTTATTGTTAAACTATTACAGTTATTGTTTGGAAGGGTATATAATATTGTATCTACACCCACCACTGTTTGCTATCCTTTGTTAGTTAACTCGTTTTTTGCTTGTTAAAGGGACAGTAGCCTCTAGGATTTTACTGCATACAACTGTACTTACTGTATAACAAATCGTCTATACCCACACGTATTTGTTACCAGATACCTAATTTAATTGTTATAATTAATTACACATCAACGCTATGAAATTTGAACGGCGCCATGACACCCACGACCGTGCTGCCACCCTGAAAAAGTTGCGTATTTGACAATTTATTTTGCACGTTACAGACCGAGGGCTAATCACAAAAGTGCAATTATATTTATACCTAAATGCTATTTAACCGAACGATATTCATTTTAGGGCAAATTTATCCATATTATAACTGAAACTATATGTTGTTTATAAGATATTACAATCCTTTTGCTTTTAAATTAATAAATAAGAAACCCCCTCAGTCTGTAGCCCTTGGCTGAAAAGTGCGCAACTTATCGATCGTGCGCTTTGAGTGGCGCCACCGTCGTTGTAATCAAACTGTAGTCGTTAGTTTTGAAACATTAAAAAAAAATATTTCTAATGGTGATTGAACCATGAAACTTTTTATGTAGCGTAATTATAACCTAAATTAGCTGAAAATAACCCTAGAACCTAGAGTAAACTTTCCCTTTAACTATTTGGCATTTTTTCTTATTGACTTGTCAGCACTCAACTAGCTGTCAATCATGTGAATTTTCTTTCAATCCTATTTTCTGCTGCCTGTACCTATCAGTGTACATATATTCCTTTTAGGGGGTCGGTCAGGGTTATCATCATTATCGCAAGCATACAAACCGTACACTTTTACATGCCCCCTCCCCCCTGTAACACGTGCAAATTAATGTTAATATTTGCCACCAATGTTTTGTGGTAAAATGCTAGACAATGCATAACCAAATTCGTATATTTGCATATGTCTCATCTCTATGGTACCAGTATGATAAGGCCTTGCCAAAATGCATTTTTCAGTCATAGCAAATAGTATGATTAAATATTTATTATTTTTCTGAATGCATACATTATTTGTTAATCCCCCCCCCCACAAACACTGTATGCAGTTTGTACACGTATGTTAATGTTGATAATTATGAACTGGCCCCCATTGTCAGCAGCATTTTTTATTCATTATAGCATTTGAATTTTTTGTTTACTTATAATGTGTTTCACAGTAATTGTTTTTTATTTGCGCACCTATAATCGTAATTATTATTTGTTGACGCCATTAACAAGTAATAATAGTTTAAATATCACCATTTTCATTGAGAAAATGCACATACTTCACACCTTATGTAACGATTATTATCTATTATTATAATCATTCACTCCTGATGATATATAACAACTTTAATTATATCGCATTTAGCCTGTATAAGTGCAATTGTTAGAGCTGCTGTTCCTGGATTAATAAATATATAATATTTTATTTCATTAACAATAACTGTAATTCAACAGGTCACAGTTATAAATTAGGACTAGATATTATTCTGGGATTATTGGAATTGTGTAGCCAGATTAATTAAAAATATCAGCTATTTCCCACATGAGAACGTTACTTACCGCAATTGCGGCAACCATCCACACTCACTTGAGATTGTTCGTCTTTCAGCGTTAACAGGTTTCAGTCGGAGGATGAGTGCAGCAGCATAGCTTCGAAGAGCTCTGGCATCAACAACGGCCTGACGTGCAGCCCAAACAAGTCCCAGCTGAACGTACTGCCACTACAAGCCCAGCCAGGCTCACCCGAACTGCCAATGGCGCTGCTGGAGACTATAATGCATGACTTTGAAGTGCAGAAACAAAAGATGACTGACCTGCAGGATGCATGTGAACACCTTAAGGTAAACAAACGCACCCTCGTCGGGAATTAATTTAATTGATAAATGTACAATTTTAAGATGTACAAGACCAATAATCATGTTGTTACATTGAGATATTATGCACACACACAAAATCCATTATATCTGCATCAGTATTCAAATTTTTCCTCTTTGAAAAGTAGTGCCTAAACCATATTAGCCATAAAGTCACAGTGACATTTTCCATGATTCATGATTTTGGGTTCATTCGATACAGAGCATCGAAATTTAATGTTAACCAACCGTTTTGCACTCACTCAATACTATTTCTATGGTCTGTCAAATAGAATATACTCATATTAATCAAACCTTTGTGGATGGAGTATAATACAGGTTAATCAGGACACAAAGACAATAAGGTTTATCTGTGATTAAGAATTTACTATTTTTTCTATACATAGAGGTTTTCCATTAGTGAAGATGTGATTTATAATGTCAGAGTGAAAATATGCATACTTGGTGAGAACTTTGTATGATAATATGGAATTTATGCACAGTAGAATTATAAGATGTGTACGTACATGTCAAATGGTCAGCTATGAAATATTGCTACCATATCCATATCTGTTATCTCCCATAAATATAGAGATATGGAAGAGGTATGTATAGCACAAACTGAAATGAAGCCCTCTCCCTCTCTTTGGTCGATGCTCACTGAGTAATTCAGACGACACAGCTGCACTGATTACCAATGCTGCCTATTTACAGAACCAGAATTCTGAGCAAATGACTCTTGTCAGTCAGGCCTTACAGGATGAAAGAGAGAGATGTGATGTAAGTGAATACTGTATTTTTGTGAAATCATCTATCTATTTATTATATATATATATATTATATATATATATATATATATATATAATATTATTGTATAACAAACATTAAACTTATTTGCTCATGTGTTACAGACACATAGACTTCTGTGTTTATCAATTATAGAACTTATATCTATGTTCGTTTGCATGTTACAAACACTATATTTATGTGTGTGTTTAATACGTTACAGAAACTAAATTTGTATCTGCTTATGTGTTATAGACACTATGTCTATGTGTATGTGTATGTGTAATGTGTTATAGAGACAATCTTTGCATATTTATATGTTACAAACACTCAATCTATGTGTATGTGTGCGTTTAACGTGTTACAGAGACTTGAGTGGCAGATGAATGACCTGACAGAGCTGCACCAGAATGAGATTCTCAACCTGAAGCAGGAGGTCACGTCTATGGAAGAGAAGATGGAATATCAAATGGAGGAGAGGGCGCGAGACATGCAGGAAGGAATAGAGAACTGCCAGACCAGGGTAAATTTATGGGTTTTACACAACCTATCCAATACTAGGAGTAGTTGGGTTGCCAAATTGGTGCAATAGTTGTGGCAAAAAAAACTGTTAGATTTTGAGTTATGGCTGATGACAACTTTACATTAATATTCCCACTAGCTGAAAATTAGCGTGCAATTGACTTGTTTGCTTCTCCGTTACCATATTAACTTTAGGGTCATCCTTGTATCAGAAGTGTTTGTCTATAAAATGTTCTTCTATTCAATGCCTTAGGCATGTGTTAATGTCTGGGCCTTGTTTTCAAATCCAAACTGATTTTGCACAACAGTAGCTTTATCAATAGCATATTAAGTATGATACTACAAATAATAAATAATTAAGTAAGAGCATGCCAGATACGCTCTTGGCTTTATGTTTAACGTGATTCTGTGGTGTAGGCGCTTACTTATCATACATTGGCAGTTACCTGTGTTGCTTATGCTTGTGTTTACAGATTGGCAAGATAGAGTTGCAGCAGCAGCACCAGCAACTAGTGACTTTGGAGGGCTTTGAAAGTTCGCAGGCTCGCACCCTTATCTTTAAACTCATCAACGTCCTTCTCGCCGTATTACAAGTCATTCTAGTTCTCATCTCAACCGTAGCAAACGTACTGACCCCTCTGCTCAGAACCAGGTAGGTGACCATTGGCTCTGGTAATTTAATGTGTAGTACAGGTAGTTGTTACTCTACAGAGGTTCAAGTGGCGAGTGCGTTCGTGTTTTATCTATGCTGTGCGGGTGATGTCCAAACTGAACGTAATAGGTATCTGATTCAGCAATTCAATACACATCTTTATTGTGTGGGAGCTATCTTATTATATTCGTGTGCAATCGGATATATTCATGTGCAAGTCTTGCGCATTTGGGGAAATCCTACTACGTAACAGACAAACAAAGCATGTAGCATCAGTAGTCTATGTACTTATTGTGTGTACAATAACACAAGTATTAATCCTAGTGGCATTACATTACATGATAGTGCTGTATTCATACATACATAAGATGAATTATTTGACAATTGGGTGTCTAGATATTTACATGTTAAGCCGTACAGCCATCACAAAGTAAACTAAGCCAGTACCCCACTAATAAAATTGATAGCTTATTCGTATTTTTAAAGCACCTGGATGTAAATTAATGTAATATCTTTTTCTCTTTCTACAGGATTCGCATACTGACGACAGCAATATTGGTGTTTGTGATGGCATTGATATGGCAGCAGTGGCCCCGCATTATTGACATTGTAACGGAATTCCAGCGACGTCGGTTGATGAAGGTGGCGTGATAGATTGTGCCCTCCGTAATAAAGTAACATTGAACACATCGGACCCGATGATAGCCTACCTGTGTTAGGAGTGCCTTGCACCGCCACCTGTTCAAGAGTTCACCGACGTCAATCAAGTACGACTGACTACACGGGCTGTGACTCAGGTGATCAGTGCGGTGGCTGAGGCTTCGTGACTGGCGCGGATGCGCATGTGATGTATCACCCTCGCAAAGCATGCATGCCACTGACATCACAATGAGATACGGCCGTCTCTGAAGCTGGTCGTACGTTCGTAGCCATAAAGCGGCGTGTAGAGGTTCTTTTGCGCACGACAAATGGTTCAGAAATGTGGCATGGACACACTTTGCGAGGTTTGTTATGGTGGGTGGGAAAGTCGCATGCTTTATCCTGTGTACCCGAGACTGTGTTGGCAGCACAGTCTGCAGAATAAGTTGCATAGCTCCTAGTCGCTATTGTGTGGCAGCTGGCATAATTTTAAATGTAGAAATATGTATAGGCTAGTGGCCAACCTGATAGAGTGCCAGATATTAAATAGCAAACTGTTTGACTGTAACCAACAAGATTGCACTAGTGCAATGACACGTTGTTTTGACCAAATTCTATTGCACATTTTGCATTGCTGTGAGGTGTAATTTACAGGAAACAGGGTCAGTGCTTAGTGTAGCCCAGTGCTAGGACGTCCCTGTGGCGCCCTAAGAATCAGATATTTTGTTTACCCGATATAAAAATTCATGAAGCATTGTTATTTCTGAATTTTTGTTGCAGCTTTAGGTAAAGTGATTATTTTCAGAAACAATACTCCTTCCTTTAATTTGCTATTTAGGCTCATGGCAAATGCAATCAATTTATCTTTACTAACGCTTTAATCTATAGTATATTAATCTGTAGTGCAAGCCGAGTGATAGTAGCAGTTCCCTTGTTTTGAACTGTTTGTCTGTTGGTCTCTATAATATGTAGTAAATTGTTACTACTACCAACCTCATCTAAAACAACAGCAAAATGTTTTTTCAATGTGTTTGCAAACGAATTTGGTCCTGCCATTGCTGTGAATATGCGATAGATTATTTTTATAAAGTTGAGGCAACCTCTTTAATGTGTTGTGTATATAGACATGTATAATTAGAACGTGCAGATATAAATTATAGTCTTGCTCTGTGTGATCTCTTTATTTTGCCAACAACTTCGTTGTTCTTGTTATGGCAAAGAATAGTTTTGTTGGTGCATAACCGAATTATATCTGGATAAACATTTTCGCCGATGAAATCGCAATGTTATTGCACAAACACAGTTAGCTGTCCATGGCTTTTCGTTAGTTTTCTCGCCCACCATGCATCAGATGAACTCACGTGGTACATTTGCCACGACAAGCTGTGCGTTTATGATGATGAGTGCCACCTACAGGCACATGATGGCAGCATCACATGTGCACCTATATTCCACTTCTGCCTCTACGCAAACGAATTCTACCTACTAAGGCAGTATGTTGCATGCGGTTTTAATTATTCCTACATTTTTTTCTGCAATTTTACAAGTGCATAGATCGAGTGACTGTGTTGTCAAAGTGAAAAAAAGGAATTCTGCTTGACTGGTCTTTGTTTTGGTTATGGACAAGTTCAAAGTTGCGACTTCAGATGTTGCAGCCGCATATGCAGGTTTATCAGGAAAGCATGCGAAGTGAAAATATGAAAGGTTATTCAACGATTTTTATTGTATGTAGCTATACAAAGGGTCATTCGCCGATTTTGATTGTAAGTAAAAGATGTAAATATCGGTTACTATGTTGACACGTGTACCATATAAAAATTGTCTCCCTGCCAAGACACATTGGGGCAGATAAGTTACAGACTGTTTTCTGTACAAGCATGAAACCCTCGCATTGTACAACAAGTTTGCAAGTGTTTGCAGACATTGCATGTCGCGTTCAGGTGGGCACGTATTTGCCATTTTACAGTATTAAAGATAGCCCTTACTGTGTTCTCACACCAAGCTCTGCCGATGAATGTGCATTTATTTTTTTGTAAATCGATACATCCTAAATAGACCCGGTGATGTTTCCCGTTTCAATTACCATGTCATGACTTCGACTTGAACGAAAGGTCGGTGTAATAGAGACAAACGTGTGCAGTTAATGTCCGCTATTCTCTGTATGCACTGTGTTCGCGTGCGTTGTGCTGTTTCATCCAGGTTTCAAGTGCAATGTAGTCGCGAAAATCGTGTTACCATTACTATTTTCCAAATCGAAGTAGAATTACTGTTGACTTCGCAATCATCCATTCGGGAATAGTCAACTTTTCCCCATATTACGCTAACTGTAGAAAAAGCACTTTGTTGCTGCTAAAAAGTATCTTGTTGGCGGTGTACCGTAGTTTGGACGCTCGCCCGAAACTGGATGCTCCTAAGTGCGCATGTGCCTCTTGTTATGCAAGGGTGCATGTGCAGCATTGCGCAGTAGTCGTCTGCGCATCTCGCCCATCGAAACGGTCGCAATAAACAAACATGGCGGACAACCCGGTCACTGATGGAAACATTTGATTGAAACAATTTGCAATATGTAGTAAGTTAGTAAGACTGTGTTATGTGTGTCAGGTTACAAGGCGAAACAAAAAGAAAACAAGAGCATGGCTACAATTTCCTACGGCCCTGCAAAACAAGATTCAAACAAGAGAAAAACAAAAGAGCATGCCTACGGCTCGGCGCATGCGCACTTAGGGTGAGCGTCGAGCGTCCAAATTCTACGGGACAGTGGTATTGCGATGCCTATGTTACGGACAACGGTGTACTACATGCAGTGCAGATAGAAATGACAACCCAGCTTTGGTGCCCGGTGACATGAGATACACTGCTAGACGTTGTTATATCATAAACTCAAAGTGATAACCACGTGTACAACCCGAACGCTGACTTTCACATCTAGATATCAGTAATACGCTGTATGTTGCAGCAATAATTGATCAAGTTCGCAAATCATTATTGCATCAACATGTTACAGTTTCTTCATAAAACGAAATTGTCATGCAGCGTGTAGACAGACAGTGCTATGGGGTTAAGAGAAGAGGCGTTTTTCGTATTTTGTTTTTTGAAGCACTAGTGTGATCATGCCAGTTTACATTATCACTGGTGTTATCCCCAGGCTTCTTATCAAGCCCTACCCGAAGTGTATAAGGTGTAAAATGCCTATTTTGTGGCATAACGAGTTTGTGGTGCTGTTAGCTTGCATCCCATCCCTTTGCAGCATGTGAATTCAATCCAGCAGATTCGCCATGCATCATGACAACTGGAACCATCTTCAATGCAATAGGAAGAATAATTATAGTCCGATGGAACGATACTGCTTGATTGTAACACCGTAGAATGTGGTAGCAAGTGTAGTGATGCTGGCAGTTGATGCCAGGTTTAGCCATGTTGTCTTTGATGTATAGATCTACGGAGCACAGGGTCAATAAACATTGATTGCGATGTTATCAGGAGTGAATAATAATAGATCTATTATATAATCTTATTTATTATATATAATCTATTGTTATTCACTGCTGATGTTATCTTGAAGCACGGCCGTGGAAAGAGGCCATCGCAAGTAGGCGTCATCGGGAGGCAGCCAACTGTCGTGTTCGTTGTAGAATGCGACACTGAAGCTGCTATTTATTGTACAGCCCAACTATAACGACCCAAAACTACAAGCGCATGTGCCGTGTTGTCATAGTTTTATTCAATCTGTGAGACGAAAATGTACAGTAATAAATTTACCACTGATTTGAGTTACAATTAATGGAACACTGTTTGTTTGTTGGCATTCTCAACTAGCCTAATGAAGTAAATTGCGTGATATACACTTGACATATGTACATGTACAACCGAGTCAGCAAGCCGCATTACATACTATTTTGTTTCATTTCATAAATATATAATTTCGGCCTAACATTTCTTCGCATATATTTCAATATGCCGTTTATGCTGAAACACTTCATGACGTCTTCCTCCCACTGTACAACTGTCGTTTT